CTGGTTTCTTTGTTCGAGCTTGATCTCTCGGAGGGTTCACAAGTCCGTGTTTAGGATTCTGACGAAAGCCATCATGCCCTTGCAAACATGCTGCAACAGGTGCGCGTACACGGTGTCCTGCAAGTTGGCAACTGGCTACGCAGCTACAGCATCCCAAGCTAAAGATCAATGCCGGGTTAGAGCAGAAAGAATGACCCGACTTAGACTTTCGTGCCACAAATGTTTTCCCTCCGCAGGATCATGCCTTGTTGTGTGTGTGTGTACGTTACGGGTATGTGCATCTATATTAGCCATTTGGGATGCGGAACGCAGCATATAGTGCGGCAAGGCTGGATCACGCGTAATGGCTTTCCAAGCCAGGTCAGGAGGTCGAACAACTTGCTTTCAAATGCTTATCATGTTTGGTTTCGTCTCCACGGGAACGCTTTTCGTTGTTCTTTAAACCAAGCTCGAAAAGGGTGTTCTCATACAAGGCACACACATATCTTTTGTGCCATGGGCAAAGCACCTCATCTAAAAGAAGGACCCCTCATTCACTTTACTCGCCGGCCGGGAACTTCAAGTCCAGTCCGACGATGTGCTTCCCTTCTTTGAGGCCGGCATGAAAGCGCCGAGTGAGTCACAAATGGCTCGCCGTTCGGCCAGTTCGGCTCGCAGGGCGAATCGCAACTCCGGCCGGGCAAGAAGAAATCAGATGAACGGTTTGCAGACCTTTCGACCTTATAGCTTGTCAATCAGCCAGTTTTAGTGGGCCCCAAAGGGTTTTCATGCCTTGTCCCTTCTGAATACCCGCGCTGAAGGTTGTTTTTCAATCGCCTTCCTGAGCTTTCCGAATTTGCAGCCGGTGCCGGTTGTGAGCCTGCCAGAATGGTCAATACCATCAATCCTTGCCGCTTAGACTATTTCAACCTTGGGGGGCTCAAGAAGGTATGTGCTGATCCCAACGTGCAGAGGCAATTCCTCGAGCATGCGTACTCTAGTTCGGCGAATGAAATGCTGTAGGAGGTTTGCTTTTGCAAGTGGTGACCCTTGAAACAGCCTTGTGACAGGGTCGACTCGTTCAGCCGCGAATTGCAACAAAACAATTGTGACAGGTTATTGAGGGGGAATCATGCAGCAACTCTACCATTCTACTGCGAATTTGTCGACGAATATGTCTCAGCAGTGAGCCATCTCTGGTGTTTTTGTGGAACACATCGATGGTGTTTTTGTGGAACACATCCATTGTTTGCCTGAATGTACATTCATCTACTTTGACTGACCCCGACATCAGTTATCCTGTGCCATGATTGCAAGCATGGGCAAGAACTGGCATCATGCTTGCCCAAGCTCCAGCACGCTATGTGGTTGCATTCCTTGCGGAACCCTCATATAAGCTTAGCGGTGGTGGTACTGGAGGCAGCTTAGTATGCGTTTCACTCGGAAGTTAACACCCCTCCCACCCAACACCCCTAGTAAAACAATTGGGGTCAAAAGCCAGCACTTGACCGGAGAGCATAGGGTGTGAGTGTTTACCTTTTACCCTTGTCGCGGCCGCCTGGGCAATGGGTAGCCGTTGACCCAACATGCAGAATCGGTGAGCTTGTGTTGAACTTGCACCAGTCATTACACTTCTGAGGAGTGCTCAGCGCGAAAGATATAGCTAGCCTTGCGGGGAGCTCTCATCGTTTTGTCCGGCACCGGTTGCATGCCGCTTGCAGGCAAGGATAGCTCTTTTTCAAAGCCGAGGATTGCCCCTGCAAAACAGACCGGCGCCCTTGTAGGGCATCACGACCGCTGGAAGTCGGGTCCGTCCACCTAAGGTGGCAGGTCCAACTGCCCAGTTTGTATTTTCAAGTTCAGACGCAGCCAGGTCAGACAATGAGCAGTTGTCAAATCGATGTTTCTCTGTGATTAAATGTGGCCATGCGGATCGCTTGTTGTGAAACGGTACAACTTTGAGTAATAAGGTCCTGGTTCTGTCCTTTGCTTGTGATGGACATGGATGGGCTTGTTTCAGTCGACGATTGGGCAATACAATATCATGCCGTGAAGGTCAAAATCAATTTAAATGCTTTATGAGGATGGTCTGTTTTTCTCCAGTCATGACAATGGCTGATTCCCCCCCAGGTCGGCTCGAGAGTCCCAAGCAAGGGCCTTTCACAGCGGCCATGCCTCTCTGTAGTGATCCTCTAGAGCTGGGGCTCAACGGCCCCCGCTCACCCTGTGTTTTCGCGGATCCCTGAAGACTGAATCCCGGTGGGTGATCGGACGTGACTGCACGCACACCGTTGTGCCTTCCATTGGATCATGGATCGAGCGGCCGAGAGCCTTCCTAAAGTCAACTTTGACGCACCTCGACTCGCGGCGGAGCGCTGGGTACTTACATCCAATCCATTGCCGATGATGTGTCGCATTTTTGGCTAGCGCGGCTTCTGAACAGCTAGTATCCATCAGCGGACAACTTGAGATACAATTCAATTGCATTGCCACATTGCAACCAGTCCAGGTCGAAAACACATGTAAACTTGCCTTTTGCGGTGATTTCCCACTAGCTAAATCACTAGCTCCTTTCATCAATTCTCGATTTTGGCAACATCCCTCATTCGCCCAGAGGGAAGCTTCTTGCTGTGGATGCGCATGCATTTGTAGAGTCTGTTTACACAATGTAAAATTGTCAGAACTAATATTACTCTTGTTATTGGTAGTGGTAGTAGTATTTATACTTCTGGTTTGTCTTCAGCCTTGCCTCCTACTTCTGAATCTCTTTAGACCTTGATCATGCAGGTGCAAGGCCAGTCCCCCCATACCCGGGTTCACGTCGATGAGAATTTCGCAACCGGATAATTTCCAAGAACCGTTCCATGCTGGGCTGAAACTGGAGACTGGAGCCCAAAAAGGAGGGCTCCCCGAAGGAAGGGTCCTCTTCAAGACATGGTTGTGTGGGTTAAATATGGGTATGGGTCAAAAAAATAAACCACCAGGGGACCGCAGGTTTTTAGTCCTTGGTTCCATTTACCAGGGCAACCCATTTTGGAGTTACCATATTTTTGACCCACATATGTTAATCTGGGGAGCAAAGGGTCGCATGGTATGAGCCATGAGCCCCCCATGCAAGTTTACTCCAGAGGATCCCTGCAGAGCAGTCCAGAACCTCGGATCGCAAGCCTGGACCCATGTCGCTTTGCAGAAATCATGTCAGACCTTGAAAAAGTTGGCGTGTGTGTGTGTGTGGGTGTGTTTGCGTCTTCAATGGCCATTTCACTGCGAGTTCCTTCTTGTATGACCAGCAAGTCCACGTGCGTGACATTATGTTTGGCGACCGTAGTTGCAAATTGGCCCGCCAATGTGTATCACAGAGACACATCAACTTTTTGCCAGAACGTGAGTGGTATGCGGCATGCAGCTTTACATAGAAGAGGTTCTGGGTCCAGGAAGCGATCATTGCCCAATGGGCGGTGGCAGTTTGGGCCTCCGAGAACCCTTGGAAGCACGCGGGTACGAGAGGCTTGAACTTGCGCTTGTGCGTACAGCAAAACCGTGTTATGGCATGGTTTCCATCAGCACGTTGATGCAGCACGTTTGACGTCAAAATGTGCAGGTTGCTGCTGTGGTCTAGATGCCGTCCAAATGAAGTAATCACCTGAAGTTCAACGTTGTAACGCAAGAGTCATGGCAAGCGGGCACTATGTCAATTTGGCTTCTGATCTACGCGCCATGTTTCAAGTGCTTGCTCATCGCATCGCAACAGCAACACTAATGCAGGTAATCTTTGCGACATGACCACGACACCAACAGCAAGGGCTGCTTCAAGACAGTATTACATCTGTAAGTTAATGCATTACTAGTGTGAACTTTAGTGTACTTCGTGTACAATCGAAAGCGATATGTTGGTAAACCTTTGCCATACCGCAGGGTGCAGGTAAACCCCAGTGCCAGCAAGCCGGCCGACAAACGGTATTTGGGCATTGACCCTGCCGTGCCTTCGGAGCATTAGATCGAGGCCTGGTGCGTGACAGCGTGCCTAACTCCAGAGAGAGTCGACTCCAAGTCAGGGGCGTAGCAATACTGGATGACTCAGTAGGGCAACTTTACTGTGAGAGGGCGACTACCCGATGTGAGCCCGCAAGGCACCCTATCGCCATTTGGACATGGTATCCAGCTGAGCATCCAACATGAGGAGTCTGACCAGGGCATAAGCGTCATGGTGTGTGTAGTTGCTTGTTTTCCTTCGCGCCGTAATGTGCCTGCAGATCACAGTCCCTAAAACAACGGGAATGCGTTTTTCATTCCCGCATTTTTTACTGAAGCAGCGAACTCGGTCATTCATGTTGGGTTCTGTGTGACAGCATCCACATTTTCGCAATTGGACAGACTCATGCGGCAGCGCCCTTCTCTGGCGGCCAATGCCCATACTTGTTTTATGCTGACTTGACCTTTGCCTTTAGATTCAACTTCTACGAAACATGCAGGCGATTAGGCTGATTGGGACTGTAGCCAGGAATAAGTCCCCGTCAGTTCCTTGAACGTTCCTTTGAATCGTAGAAAGCAGTGCTGGAGCCGGCGTTCGTCACTGGCGGCGTTCGTCATTGTCGCTGGCTGTTTCAGACAGCCGTGTCTCGCTCGGCGGCTTGCTGCATCGAGGCGAAAATATTGGCTCCGGAAGCTGTGAACGCGTTCAACCAGTCCCTTCCTGACAAAACAGACCCTTTAAAAGGTCCAAAAGGCCCAGGGACGAGTCTGGGCAAAGTCGTTCGAAGAATTGGTGCTTTACCAGGACTTGCTGAGAAGCTGTTCTGGAGATGTGGCCCAACAGGAAGTTCTGTCAAGCTCCTCCAAGCACTTGTGTGGGGGGACTGCCATGTACATGTACTATATGACTCCAACCATGTCAGTGAACGTTTCGAAGCATTCAATGATGTATGTATATATATAGATACACGTTGTTCTGCAATGCTGGCTCGTACCTGTGCTCTTTGATACCATGTCATTCTGTATTTGCAGACAAGCTCCCGCAGCAGGAGGCTCCGGCAAAGAGGAGGGCTACCTGCTGGTGCGCAGCGTCGCCGAGTCAATGGCTAGAAGTGGCTGTGGGTCAAAATAGGTACCCAAAATGGAGCCCCGGGAAATAGACACATCGACCTCTGGCAGTTTAGTTTTGACCCATACCCAAGTGAGCGTAAGTCTTCAACCCTTGGATTCATGGATTGCTATTTCACTTTAGTCGTGCTAAATCGGCGCTGGTGATGCCATTTGAGGCCACACATGTTTTTGAAAGGGGTCGCATTTTCTGGTGAATGATGCTTGGAGGTCAAGACGACAAGTATGTTGGGATTGTTTGTTGCCAATATCGCCATGTATTCGTGTCGACTTTTGCTATAGGCCACTTGAGCAGAGTTATAGAGTTATTTTTTGCTAAGTGTTCGCCTAGTATTCGGGGGGAACTCCTTTTATGTTGCGGAGGCACCGCGTAGCCAATTCTGGTGGGGAAAGCGATTCGCGTAGGTAGTCCGCATAGGCGGTTCAAGCAAATCCCGCGTAGGCGAGTCTGCGTAGGCACTCCGCGTAGGCATTTGTTGCTGCGTAGGCTCGCACACCCTTTCATGGTTTTGCACACCCACGGAAGCTGCGCGTAGGCATGGCTGCCAGTGTATTAGGCCAACACACCCAAACAAAAACCCTGCTCGCTTGCCTAGTATTTAGCCAGCTGGTGCGTTCCTGAATAATTAACCACATCGCTTGAAGAGCATGTCTCAAGTGTGTTGGCCCTTGGGCTCAAAATATCCTCAGCATGACAATTTCATAATCCAAAGGACGAGAGTGCCTTGGACGCAACAGCAGAAAGCTTTAATTTGAGGGTAGGTAGCATCATGGCCATTTGGGTTGCCTTTAGAGGGGTGATCCCAAACTGCTATTGGCTACATCCAGATCAAACCGCCTCATTTGTGGATTGATGTTGTGCATCTGAAGGCTGTTGCTTGACTGTGCCTTGGATAGCGATTCAAACATCCAGACCGTGCTCCGGGATGCAGGCGTTTGTCATAGACGCATTCTCGTGTTTTAGCGTAGGCTGAATATGCATCAGAAAGTGGACACATTATTGGCAGGATGTTAAAGTTGAATCAGTTGGCGACCGGGTGAGCTGTCTGCTCGCCTGCCTGCCTTCCTGCCTGCTTGCCCCTGTATGTTAGAATAGGCTTATTGGGATAATCTTAACCCAAACCTTCCCTTCTGTTTTGGGGTATGTTCCCACAGGTACTGGGAGCAGGGCCGCTGCCAGATGGGCCGAGCGTGCAGCTTTGTGCACCCGGACTGTTCAGGGCTGGTCAGCTCAGCTGGAGTTCCCTGTTAAACACAGATTCCCACCAACTATTCGTCCCCACCAAGACGCAACACGTAAAAGGCAACAGTCAGCACACAAGCAGCAACACCCAACAAACAACCAATACAATACACTCAACAAGAGCGCCGGCACAAACGAATGTACAAACACGACGTGAATATGTGAATATGTATATAGATATACATATATATATATATATACATATGATATGTATATATATATATATGTATATACTTATATTTATTGCACAGAGACACAGACGCGACACAATCACACACCCACCCACCCGCCCACCCACCGCACAGAGACACAGACACACGCAGACACACAGACAGACAGACAGAGACAGAGACAGAGACAGGGACAGAGACACAGACACAGACACAGACACAGACACAGACACAGACACCACACACACACAACCACACACAAAGCACACAACACACACACACAAAACACACACGCACATACGCGGACACACACACACACACAAGGCGCGCACGCACGCACAGGAGCACACGCGATCACACGCATGCACATGCACACGCGCACGCGCTCGCCCGCCCGCCCGCCCGCCCGCCTGCATGCCCGCACGTTCACGCGCACACGCGCTTGCCCGCACGCCCGCACACTTGGACGCTCACGCGCGCCCACCCACCGACAACACACATAGTATTAGCCGCAATCGAAACGCAGGGAGATGAGGGGTACTTAGGCTTACTACGGGACAAAACAGCTAAAAATTGGCGACTGTCGTCTTGCTGTGTCACGTGGTTCTTGGGTGGACCCCTTTAGTGCCAAACTGGTCTTGAGTGTGAGTCATATTCTGCACAACATACAGGGAAGCTAGCATATTTAGAGGGTCCGGAGGGTGGAGGGCATTTTTGTTGGCAAGACTTGTTGCAGCTTGAGTCATCACCTAGGGCCACCAGTTGCCACTTATATATCTTTGGTTCAGCAGGTAGAGCTTCTAAAGCAGAAGGAATTTGCGCTACTATAGGTTCACCATTTACTCCGGTGCACATCTTACTCATTCTTTCTCAATAATGTCTTCTTCATTAAAGACGTCAGGGATCCCTGTCCCAAAGACAAGATTCAATGTGATTAGTATGGGTCTGCGTCGAGTCCAAAGGTGCCTAAGCTTGACAACTTGTGCGCCACATACATTTAGCTGACAT